ATGAAGACCTAGCTTCTTTTCCTATAAAACAATGTATGTGAACCACGTAAATAGGTTTTTAAAAATAATTCATCCTGTCCAGCCAGCATGGCTCAGTGATTGAGTGTCAACCTATAAGTCAGGTCATAGTTGGATTTCCGGTCCGGGCACATGCCCGGATTGCAGGCTTGATCCCCAGTAGGGGGCATGCAGGAGGCAGCCGACCAATGATTTTCTCTCATCATTGATGTTTTTCTCTCCCTTCCTCTCTTGAAATCAATAAAAATATATTTTAGCCCTGACCAGTTTGGTTCAGTGGATAGAGCATTGGCCTTCGGACTTAAGGGTCCCAGGTTCTATTCCCGTCAAGGGCATGTACCTTGGTGCGGGCACATCCCCAGTAGGGGTGTGCAGGAGGCAGCTGATTGATGTTTCTCTCTCACGGATGTTACTAAGTCTCTATCCTTCTCCCTTTCTCTCTGTAAACAAATAAAATATTAAGAATATATGTATATTTAAAAAACAACAACAAAAAACTCATCCTCACAGATGTTGAATAACCCTAAGAGAATCAAATTTCTTAAATGTACCCAGATCTTTGGATTCAAATTCTGCTCTTTGCTACTCTCCCCTCGCCTCTGTTCATCCTTATAGTTAAGGAAGCCGAGGCTCAGAAAGGCAAAATGGAGTGGGTAGCCTAAGATCACAGTGTGTTAACTGAGAACGGGAATGAAATTCAGGCTTGCACAATAACAAAGCCCTTACCACTACATGGGACTGTGTCTGTCTAGTTTGGCTTTAGTTTTCATGACTTTAGTAGGAGGGTTGGAGAATCCTCTAATCTCTGTACTCAGTCCTCATCTTAATTCCATCTAGGAGTGAAATTAACTATGGCCTATAGGCTGGCCAGAGACTAAACTTCCTTCCACCCCCACTAACCCATCTTTCAGTGTCAGGCCTCTCTAAAGCAGTGTTTTTAAAAATTTTTTATCACAACTCACTGTAAAAAAAATTTTTTACATCAAAATTCAGTGTGTGTACATACACAAGAGACATTTTCTTCTTGTTTTAAAATATATTTTTAATTGATTTTCCACAGAGAGGAAGGGAGAGGGATGGAGAGCTAGAAACGTCAATGGGAGAGAAACATCGACCAGCTGCTTCCTGCACACCCCCTACCAGGGTGCCTGCAACCAAAGTATATGCCCTTGACCGGAATTGAATCTGGGACCTCTCAGTCCGCAGATCGATGCTCTATCTACTGAGCTAAACCAGTTTTGGCTATTTTTTTTTCTTTTTAAGATATTTTATTAATTTTTAATAGAGAGGATAGGAGAGAGATAGTGAGTTAGAAACATCAATCAGCTGCCTCCTGCACACCCCCTACTGGGGATGCGCCCCCAACCAAGGTATATGCACTTGACCGGAATCGAACCGAGGACCTTCCAGTCCAAAGTCCGATGCTCTATCTACTGAGCCAAACCGGATTTGGCTATTTAAAAAAACACACAAAAAACAACATATATATATATATATATATCTATATATATATATATATATATGTATGTATGTATTTTTTTAATTTTTTAAAAATTTATTTCAGAGAGAGAGGGAGAGATAGAAACATCAATGATGAGAGAGAATCACTCATCGGCTGCCTCCTGTATGCCCCCCACTGGGGATTGAGCCCGAAACTCCTGGCATGTGTCCTTGTCCAGAATCAAACCAGCTGGGGCCACAAGAGACATTTTCACAACATGATTCTTTTTTGTTATTTTTGCTATTAATCCTCACCTGAGGATTTTTTTTTTCCCATTGATTTTTTTTTTTTTTTTTAGAGAGAGTAGAAAGGAGGGAAGGGGGAGAGAGGAAAACATCAATTGGTTGCTGTCAGCACACACCCTGACCAGGGCAGGGATCAGATCCGCAACCCAGGTAATTCCCAGTTGACTGGGAATGGAACCGAGACCCTTTAAAATGTGGGCCAACACTCTAGCCACTGAGAAACAGGTCAGGGCACAACATGATTCTTATGCTTACTATTTGCAGTTATGCTTAATTTTTAATATACTTATCATCCACCAAGTGATTTCAAGAGCACTATTGGCTTATAGCCTCAGTTTGAGAAACTAAAGATTTGAGGGTAAAAACAGCTAGAGAACTGTAACATTGGTTAAGAAGCTAATTAATACTCGTTCTTGCACTACAGGATTTTGGGTTTCATGGACCAATTTTAATTTTTCCCCTCAAGTAATTATATTTAGAACGTTTACTACTGTCGGTCACCATAAATTTTTTAAGCATTAAAAAAAAACCACCCAAACAGTTGTTTAGAAATTTAAAAAAATATATATTTCCTATTAAAAAAGAATTTTGTAGAATGAAAAAAATCTGAATCCTCCACATACCATTTTCCTCTTCCCACTCTCCTCAGAGGTAACCACTGTTAACAAATGGTGTGTATCTTTCCATACTTTTTTCTATGTAGAATTGTCTTTTTTACAGAAATAGGATACAACCACATGTTTTAGTCTACAGCATAATTTTTACTTCACAATAGATTTTAGAGTTTTTCGTGTGTGTGTGTGTGTGTGTGTGTGTGTGTGTGTGTGTGTTCGCAACCAAGGTACATGCCCTTGACCAGAATCGAACCTGGGACCCTTCAGTCTGCAGGCCAAGGCTCTTTCCACTGAGCCAAACCGGTTAGGGCTATAAATTCTTTATATGTGTTATCTCATTGAATCCTTACAATCTTAGGAAGTAGGTCCTCATAAGGCTGTTATCCATCCTACAGATGAGAAAAGGTGTACATTGATAAGATTTAGTAACTGGTCCAAAGTTTCACAGCTAGTAAGCAGAACTGTAAAATAAACCCAGTGAATTGGACTCCACAGCCTTTGTTCCTCTGCACTGCCTCCTCTATGATTTTTATGTCTTTACTGGGATTGCAGAGATTTTTAACCCTGATTTGACTTCAAAACAACTTGCTATAGTGACAAAATGTTTCCCCACATATGCTGTTGACTATGATGATTGTGGAGTCACTAGAGGAGGGAAAAGGGAAAAGTTAATTTGAACTGGAGAAGGGAAAAATTAACTTGAACAAGCAAAGTACAATCCAAGCATGCTTAGATTTCAGAGAGAAGTTTTGCATGCTCTGATCATACTAACTTCTTTGAATGCCTTAGTTTCTTTCCCCCTCAGAGTCAGATTGATGAAGTATTCAGGTTTGCATGATTAGGCTCCTGAAGGCCCAGCTTCTCTCTCTGCCTCCTCCAGCACCAGCTCTCCTAGCCTCTTGGAAGGAAGGTAGAGAAGGCTCAATTGGCTATCTCCTATACACCTCAAGCTTATTCTTTCATCAAATATTTATTGCTTGAAGACTTACTCTTACACCATCCTCTGAAGATTCCTGCATGTGTTTAGAAGGTATACCTTCTTTCTCTGTCTCTAATTTTGAGGACTACAGCTGTTAGGCCCTGTTAGTATGGAGGGTAATCTAATCCCTAAGCACTAGGAAGACAGCTGCAAGTTGAGAGCAGGTCAAGCCTACTGACTCTTAGACTTAAGAAATTTTCAGACATGGAGAGGTGGCAGAAGCAAAATGAAAGAGTTGATGCCAAATGTGGTCTGTTGATTGTGTTTCTCTACTCACCTTTGACCATAAATGAGAAAGGGTAGGTTTCCTTTTGGACCTTGGTTAGATTTTCAGAAATATCAAGAAGACTGGTCATATATGAAGGATATGGAACCAGAAGATAGCCCTCCGCTATTAGGAGTATTGACATTTCCACATCGTAAGAATGAATCCCTTCTTTTGAAGCTAGAAAAAAGCAGAGCAGGAGAAAGGAAAAGGACAGCCCCAAGCCCTAGCTGGTGTGGTTCAGTTGGTTGAGCATTGTTCTGTGCACCAAAAAGTCACTAGTTCAATTCCCTGTCAGGTACATGCTAGGGTTGCAGGCTCAATCCCCAGTAGGGGTGTACAGAAGGTAGCCAATCGATGTTTCATTCTTTTCCCTTCCTCTCTCTCTAAAATCAATTTAAAAAATAAAACAAAAAATAATCAATAAAAACTTTTTTTTTTTTTAAAAAGGACAGCCCCAGGAAACCAGGGAGATAATAAGGATCTAGGGTACTTGTAGGTGGATCTAGGTGTTCTTTAGGCAACTAAAAGTTGATCAATTTGCTGTTCTTTGAAGATATGGTGAGAAATTAATGGAAGGAGTAAAGACTTCTTCCACACAGTTTTCAGTCTCCATTCCGGCTCCGTTGGCACTTGGGAATTATGTAGTACGGTAAACTCTACTTCCGATGCAATTCTTATTTTATCATTCACTCTTTTTAAAAACTATATATTTTATTGATTTTTTACAGAGAGGAAGGGAGAGGGATAGAGAGTTAGAAACATCAATGAGAGAGAAACATTGATCTGCTGCCTCTTGCACATCTACTGAGGACGTGCCCACAACCAAGGTACATGCCCTTGACTGGAATCAAACCTGGGACCTTTCAGGCTGCAGACCGATGCTCTGTCCACTGAGCCAAAGCAGTCAGGGCTCATTCTCCACTCTTAACCACTGAGTGTTAGTTGCCTGGTTACACTCAGTGGTGTAACCAAATGGTGGATGATTGTAAGATACTAGAGGCCAGGTGCATGAAATCTGTGCATGGGTAGGGTTCCTAGGCCTGGCTGGCAACCAGAACCGATCAGGGCCTTCAGGCTGCAGCCAGGGCATTCCTTCGTTCTGTGCCACCACCTGGTGGCAAACTCATGATCAAACTTCCAAGGGGACACTTTGCATATTAGCCTTTTATATATATATAGATAGGAGAAAAGAAATAAAGAGATTCTATTCTTTGTCTAAAAAGTGATTGTAACTATAATGGGTCTGTTTTAATTTTACCCAATTTTTTCTTACAGGACTGTTGAAGCCTGGAAGTCCCCTCCCCTTCCCCCTCCCCCCTTTGCCGCTTTGTGGCATTCCCCTCCCTCCACCCTTTCCCACTCTGAAAAGCTAGCCATGACTAGCAGAAGCACAGCCAGGCCCAATGGCCAGCCCCAGGCCACCAAAATATGCCAGTTCAAATTGGTCCTGTTGGGTGAATCTGCAGTGGGAAAGTCTAGCCTGGTGTTACGTTTTGTCAAAGGGCAATTCCATGAGTACCAGGAGAGCACCATTGGAGGTGAGTATCTCAGGGAAAGAAGAGGTTTGGGGCTTAGTAAGGCTTTTGAAGGGAGATCTAAGGACCTAACTGTGAAGCTGGCCCTCTTAGCTCCCTGGAATGGAAATCCTTTATAAAACAGAAAGAAAGTAAAAGAAAAGGCCATAATGCCAAAAAGCAGATATATATTCATCATCTTACTGCCTACAAGAAAGAAGATTGACCTTTGCTCACCAATAAAACCAAATTTTTATCTGTCTCCTTCCCCCTACTCTTACCTTGATACCAGTCAAGTTCAGTTGAGAGTCATCTTGAGGAGGGTTGATTTGGGGCAGTGATTCATAATCAGAGATACACACCAGAATCATCTGGGTAGCACTGAAGGTGATGGGGGTGTAAGCATACATGTATGTGCATTCTGATGCACATATCTGATGATAAAATAGAGGCTGGAATTAAACATGAAAGATAAAGGCCATTTGCCTTTCCCACATTTGCTACCTTCTCCCTGCCACTACCTCAAATATAGGTTGTTAATTCAATAAAAGATCATTTATGAGAACTCCATGTTACTATTTCCCCGCCTGTACTAGTCACCTTGAAAATGTGGTGTTCTTGTCCTAGCCTGCTTGGCTCAGTGGATAGAGCATTGGCTTGTGGACCAAAGGGTCCCCAGTTCAATTCCAGGCACATACCCCAGGCCTTGGTTGGGACACATGCAGGAGGCGTGTGCAGGAGACAACCAATCAATGTGTTTCTCTTACATTGATATTTCTCCCTGTCTTTCCTTCTCTCTTGCAACTCTCCCTAAAAGATCAATGGAAAAATATCCTCGAGTGAGGATTAACAAAATATAAATAAAAAAATGTTATTTAAGAAAAGAGAAATGTGGTGTTATTGGGCTAGCAGAAAATTATAGAAAAAGTAACAGACAAATAATTGATAATGGTGGGACCTTCCATCAAACTTTAAAATCTAATCTGTTATTTTTCTTCTCTATTTAGTTCCTTTTTTTAAAAAAAAAAAATTAATATTTTTATTCATTTCAGGGAGGAAGGGAGAGAGATAGAAACATCCATAATGAGAGAGAATTATTGATTGGCTGCCTTCTGCCCACCCCCCACTGGGGATTGAGCTCACAATCTGGGCATGTCCCCTGACTGGAATCAAACCTGGGACCCTTCAGTCCACAGCCCGATGTTCCATCCACTGAGCCAAACCAGCCAGGTCTCTGTTCAGTTCTTGATGTGAGTTTTATCTGAAGCTCATCTCTTTATTTTGGTTAGAGGAGGGATGACTGGTATAAGTGCCAGTTCTTTCTGTCCCTCATAGTTTATTTATGATGTGCAGTCATTCCTTAGATTAGAGAAACTTCTGCAGGAAGGACTTAGCCAAGAGTGGTCTTACTCCTGGTTCCAGGAATATATAAAGAGAACACTAAACCTTTTCCTGTAGCTGAATGGCCCAAGTTGTGACTGGTCTTAGGCTTAGAGAAGATATTTTGAAGGGATGTGGAATGTTCCCATTCATCCTCTCACAACTGCTTCTCCATTCTCTCATCCATAGCGGCCTTCCTCACCCAGTCCGTTTGCCTAGATGACACAACAGTCAAATTTGAGATCTGGGACACAGCAGGGCAGGAGCGATACCATAGCTTGGCCCCCATGTACTACAGAGGTGCCCAAGCTGCAATTGTGGTATATGACATCACTAATCAGGTAAGTGGGCTGAGAGGGTTATCCTTCCTTTTACTTATAGGAATTAAATTAGGTGGGAGAGAGAACACAAGTTCTCAAAATAACAAAATTATCCTTCCAAGTGCTGAGAAGATAAAGGTAATAAATTATCAGAAACTAGACTTGGAGTTGGGGCGTTCCCCAACCTGGCCTGTGCCCTCTCAGTGCGGGAGCCCCGCAACCCATCTCCCCAAAGAGATAGGCCCTGCCCACCCATCGGGGCTCCTCGATGGATTGCCCAAAGAAGTGGGCTGGAGCCGGGGCCCTGCCTCCGCACTGCACAGGGCTGTGGGACCCCCAGGCCGCCAGGCTCTGCCTCCATGCCATGCACACAGCATCAAGTCCCCGCCCACCCATGCACACCCACTGCACACGCAGCCTCCTAGTGATGGATTGTGGGATTGTGACAGCGTGAGGGCGTCACGGTTTGAGGACGTGATGACCACCTAGGCTATTAGTAGAGATGAGTGGTTTCAGTGAGGGAAGACCACCTGGAAGAGGTGAGTTTTGAGACTGGGCTTTAAAGGTGATGGGCCTAAATTGACAGTCATTCCAGCCCACCCATTTTCTTCCTCATGTTTTCCTAGGAAACCTTCGCCCGAGCGAAGACATGGGTAAAGGAACTACAGCGACAGGCCAGTCCTAGCATTGTTATTGCCCTGGCGGGGAACAAAGCTGACCTGGCCAACAAGCGCATGGTGGAGTATGAAGTAAGATGGCCCACAGAGCTCCTTTCTAATACACTCCCTCTGTGCTTGGGACCTCTTTTGTCCAAACCTACCCTCTCTAGAAACCTCACCTGAGGACATTCATCATGTCATTCCCCAGTCCTGCGTTAAAAACAGCAACACTGTGACCCTAATGATAGCCAGGAGATTTTAGAGGAGTCAGAAGAAAATTCCAGAGCAGCAGGGTGGGTAGGGAACACCAGCTGTGGGAGGACCAGTGTGAAAACAGGAAGGAGGGAGCGATTGAATTTGAGGTAAGGAACTTTTCAAGGGTCAGAACCCAAAAGCCCCCAACCAACTTACTTTTCTCTCCCAAAATTAGGATTCCTGATAACTGTGTGTTGCATAAAGTGGTCTAGACCATGGGTTATCCTTGAGGGAGTTGTCACCAAAATATGGGTCCAGAGCCAGCTGGCTCAGAGGAGTGTTAAGGTGAGGGAGCCGAGGACGTTGCTTAGCTCCGGTGCTACATGGGAGTGGAAAGGCCATAGTTGTTTCTAACCTACGTTCTGAGCACCACTGTCTCCCATCCCTTGTAGGAGGCCCAGGCATATGCAGATGACAACAGCTTATTGTTTATGGAGACCTCAGCCAAGACAGCTATGAACGTGAATGATCTCTTCCTGGCAATAGGTAAGGCCAGAGCTGCCTGAAGTCTTCGTGTCTTTTTCCCTTACCTCTACCTCTAGGCGAGATCTCTAACCCAGCTCCTAAGGATGAATGGGAGTGTCTCCTCTGGTGAGACACCGTAACTTCCCGTTGTGACCTCCATCCTTTAGTTGTCTTTAATATAGTTTACAAGTAGTGAACCCTTTCCTCTTCAGAGCATTCTTTTAATGTCTCACATTTCCCCTTACTTCTTCCCCACCCAATAGTCCTTTTCTGGGGGGGAGGGGAGGATGAGTTAAAATCTACCACACTTTGTTCCCTTCTCTTTTTGTCTCTAGCTAAGAAGTTGCCAAAGAGTGAACCCCAGAATCTGGGGGGTGCAGCAGGCCGAAGCCGAGGTGTGGATCTTCACGAGCAGTCCCAGCAGAACAAGAGCCAGTGTTGTAGCAACTGAGGGGGTAGCTAGCAGCGAACAAGTATGGAGCTAGCACGAGAGCTAAGAAATAACCTCCATTCCCAACCCTCAGCACACAGCCCCTACGGTAACAGCACACTGAGCCCTGGCTCCCAAGGGCTGCCTCCTGACAGCTCCGTCATGGCACTTTTTAACGCTTCAGCAACCAACACCAGGCAGCTGTTGCCACTGACCTCCTACCCCTACTCTGGGGCTTGGGGGTCAGATCCCCCAGGACTTACCTTCCAAAACAGACTTTCTTCACTTTGTATTATAGGTGCAAGACAGTGACCTACTTCTCTCTCCTTCTCCTCCCCACTTTTTCAGAAAACATTTTTTTGTCTCCTGCCCCTTCTGCTTTGGTCAATCCCTGTTCTTGATCCCCCTTTTCCGCCTTTCCCTAGGATGGAGAAGGCGGTGAACCCAGGAACTGAGGAAGGAGGTTTCCAGTCCAGTCATATTAAGGGCCCTGGGGGAGAGTAAGGCTCAGAGCAGGAGGGAGAAAGGAAATTTCCTTTTTGGGTTGTTTGGTTGGAGTTTCTCATATTTGAAGACACTGCAGTATCCGTGAGTTGGCCTTGTGGAAGGTGCTTCTAGGCAGAGTGAGAGCAGGAAGGCAAGCTCGTGGGCACCAGCTGGGAGCCGTGTTGTTAGTTAACGGCGGAAGTGGAGGAGGAGGTGGAGGTGCAGTGTCATCTGTGGCTCTGGAACTCTTCCAAGGCCGAGTTTCCCTTCACTCGGTCTCTTAGGTAGCTTGTCCTCCATAGTGGGGGGAACTCTGGACCCCAGAGTCCTCCAAAGAATCTTCACTGGTTGCCTGCATCTTTGGCTCTGCTGTGACCTAATTGGAGGAGGGACCAGTTTCTGACACCCATCCTCTGATTTATACATGCGCATTTTTTTCTGTCTGGCCTTTGGATGGCCCCAGCCATTATATCCCCCTGCAGTTTGCACTTTAATTGATGGTAGTTCAGTTGGGACACTTGTTTTATGGGGGTTTGATTGATTTACCTGCCCTCTCACCTTTTAAATTAAATGGAATCCAAGATGCATATGAGGTTTGGGGAGGAACTGTCCAATGGCGGCTACTCAAGCCCAATCTCCGCTGCGATCTTGCTCCAACTCTGATTCTTAACCTATATTCTTGCCAGCCCATATTCTTGGGTATAGGTTTGCCTTTCCTGGGGAATGAACTGAAGTGACTGGAGAGCGGTCTCAGGATAGCTCAGACCGCGGTAGGGGTGAAGAGGAGTCAGGCAAGAGGGAGGAGTTTTCTCTCCTTTCCCAGGGTTCATGTTCAATTTGATCCACCCATTACCATGTCTTTTCTACTTCCCTGTAAATAGGTATGATCTTTATTCCCACTGTACAGTCTGTTCTCTCCCCCCACCCCCCAAAATCAGGCCCTATTTCTTTTCTCCATTGTTAGTATCTTCAGTTTAGTCCCTCCATGCTTATGCCCATACTCATCACCCATGCAACCAGTGGCTTAATCCACGTACCACTAGGGGCTAGCACCACAGAGGCCTACTTGTGGCCCCTTAAAATATAACGCCTGTTCCTGTGGACAGCAAAAGTCTGGCACTGAAGGTCCCTCACAGCTGTCTCACATCACCAGACGAAGTTGGTCCTTTCTAAATCTCTAGCCTCTCTTCACATCCCTCATCAGGTATTTAGGATGTCTTTGGGAAGCCATCAAGGCAGGAGAGCATTCTAAACTTCTTTTTGTTCCAACCTAGAGTTTGGGGGAAATTGGAAGTAATGCAGGAAAGGCCTCGGTGAGCTAGGATTGGAACGTTCTGCCCTTTTGGCTTACAGACTTCCTTCTGTCCCAGAGCAGCTGAGAAATCCAGGAGGCTGAGATTCTAAAGGACCCAGCTTGGGTTCTTCCACTTAGGCTTCAATTCCCTTCCTTTTCCAGGGGCAGCCTTAGTTCCCGTGGCCCTCAAATACATACACATTTTGTCTTCCTTTGCCAGCACCTCACCAGCCCCCAACAGCACCCCGTGCATTCTTAAAGTGGAAGAACTAGGACGGCTCTCTTAAGTCTTTGAAATGAAGTTCTTTCTCTGTGCAGCGTTCCCCCGGGAGCAGGAGTGAGGATGTTTCATTGCCTTGGGGCTGGGAAACCATTTCTGCAGGCTTCTCCCCTCCCCAGCCCCTTTAGGGACAGGATTGGCCTTAACTCCTGGGCCCATCTGCTGCCTTCCTTCTCCTCCCTACCAGCTCTCTGCTTTCCTTTGAGCTCTCTTGGGCTTGGGGATCTTAGTTTTTATTTCCCAGCTCTTCATTTTTTCCTTCTATCAGTTTTTTTTTTTTTTTTTTTTTTTGGGGGGGGGTCCCTTTATTTCTTTTAAGAAAGCATTTGCCTTTCCCCCCCTTACTCTTCCAACATAACAATCGTGGTAACAGAATGCGACTGCTGATTTACCGATGTATTTAATGTAAGTAAAAAAGGAAAAAAAAGAAAAGTGTATTGGAGTGTTGCTTCTTTTTTACTTTGTCTGACTGATACAAGAAATTTGGAAGAAAGGGCACCCAGTAGTTTTATTGAATCAGAAACACACCCTCCCCTGTATGTTGGTGCCTCCTTATTCCCTCTAATCTGATTTTGAATATTGAGATAACCTAATTTGGAAAATAGCATCTTTATTGCTGCTTGTTTGTTTGTTTGTTTGTTTGTTTGTTTGTTTGTTTTGGAGGGGTTGGAATATTTTTTTAAAATGTTTTAGTCGAAACCGGTTTGGCTCAGTGGATAGAGCGTCGGCCTGCAACTGAAAGGTCCCAGGTTCGATTCCGGTCAGGGGCATGTACCTTGGTTTCAGGCACATCTCCAAGAGGGAGCTGATCAATGTTTCTCTTTCATCGATGTTTCTAGCTTTCTATCCCTTTCTCTTCCCCTCTGTGAAAACTCAATAAAATATACTTAATCAATAAATAAATGTTTTAATTGATTTTTAGAGAGAGAGGCAGGGGAAGAGAAACATTGATTGGCTACCTCCCATAAAGGCCCCAACCAGAGATAAAACCTGCAGCCTGGGGATGTGCCCTGACCAGGATTGGAGCCACCACCTTCTGGTGAACAGAAAACCAACCAGTCCCGGGCTTAATTGCTGTTTATTTTTTTATTTTTTTAATATATTTTATTGATTTTGTACAGAGAGGAAGGGAGAGAGATAGAGAGTTAGAAACACCGATGAGAGAGAATCATCGATCAGCTGCCTCTTGCACACCCCCTACTGGGGATATGCCCGCAACCAAGGTACATGCCCCTGACCGGAATCGAACCTGGGACCTTTTAGTCTCCAAGCCGACGCTCTATCCATTGAGCCAAACCGGTCCCGGCTTAATTGCTGTTTAATCTCTCCTACTCCCAGACCACTAGAGAGCTCATCAAGTCTGACCGCAGCTATTTTTTTTAGGGCCTCTTAACAATATATATATTAGGAGGGGTGTCTATGACCTTTGGGCAGGCAGTTGGTGAGGTTGGGGGGAGAGGTGGAGTTTGTGACTCCTTTGAAGTATTATGCAAAAATGTATGTATTTCTTTTTTTTTCTTTTCTTTTTTTTTAAATATATTTTATTGATTTTGTACAGAGAAGAAGGGAGAGAGATAGTTAGAAACATCGATGAGAGAGAGTGTCATCGATCAGCTGCCTCTTGCAGACCCCCTACTGGGGATCTGCCCGCAGCCAAGGTACATGCCCTTGACCGGAATCGAACCCGGGACCCTGCAGTCCCCAAGCCGACGCTCTATCCATTGAGCCAAACCGGTCCCGGCAAAAATGTATGTATTTCTGAAGGGAGAGGGTCCTTTGCCTTATTAGTGTCTCAAAGGGGACTTTGACTTAAAAGAAGATTTTTTTAAAACTCACTGCCCTTGCCAGTTTGGCTCAGTGGTTAAGAGTGTAGGTCCACAGACCAAGTTTGATCCCTGATGTTTCTCTCTTCTTCCCTCCCAAACTTTCACTCTCTCTCTAAAGATCAATGGAAAACATTTCCTTGGGTGAGGATTTTAAAAAATACTGAACTAGCATTTTATTATCATGTTGCTTTACCCCAACAGGAAACTTTCTCCTGGATCAGCTTTTATTTCCTGCCGTATGTGAAGCCCTTTAGTCTATCAGAGCCTAAATGGAGGTGGGTGGGAGAGAGTGATACAAAGAAAAAATTAGGTATGGATGCAGGAGAAGTTTTCAATTCCAAAGAATCTGAAAGGACTGGTGCCAGACAGACCTGGCATTCCAGTCTTGCCTCTTGCCAGCTTACCAGCTGTGGCCTTGAAAGCAACTTACTTAGCAGCTTTCTGCCTCGGTGTCTACTGTAAAACAAAAGTTGAGGTTTAAAGGTCATTTATGTACAGCATATGTATGTCACACAAGGAGAGGATACTGTTGTTAAATACTCTTATCCTTGGGCTGAGCCTGATTTTTTTTTTTTTTTTTTTTTTTTTTTGACACATCCATTGGTTGCCTCCCACTCATGCCTCAACCCAGGGGTGAAGATCTGACCTGCAACCCAGGAACCTGCCACTGACCTGTAATTGAACCCAAGACCCTTAAGTGCACAGGCTGACACTCTAACCACAGAGCCATGCCAGCCAGGGCTGAGCCTAATTTTTTTATTATATATTTTTTGGTTGAGCATTGACTTATGAACCAGGAGATACTGTTGCTGGCTCAATCCCCAATAGGGGGTGTGCAGGAGGCAGCTGATCAATGATTTTCTATCTCTCCCTCTCCCTCTCTGAAACCAATTTAAAAAAAAAAAAAAAAAAGAATAGTAAGACAGTGTTAGTGTTAGGGTTGTCAAAGGAGGAATGCAGGAGGCTAAAGTGGTAAGGGATTATAAATTTACTAGAGGCCCAATACACGAATTCGTGCACTAGTGGGGTCCCTGGGGCTGGCCTGCGGGATTGGGCTGAAACCAGCTCTCTGACATCCCTCAAGGGGTGAGAAGGCACAGGCCAAGCCAAGGGACCCTACTGGTGCACAATCAGGGCTGGGGAGGGATATGGGAGGCTGGCCAGCTGGGGAAGGATCATGGGAGGGCTCCAGGGCATGTCCAGCCCATCTCACTCAGTCCAGATCAGCTGGACCCAGCAACAAGCTAACCTACCAGTTGGACTATCTGCCTCCTAGGGGTCAATGCAAGTCTTAGTGAGTGGTTCAACAATCTGAGCATATCATTAGCATATTACGCTTTGGTTGACTGGACGATCAGACATAGCATATTAGGCTTTTATTATATAGGATTAGGTCATCTGGATACCAGTGCCAGCACCCAGCAAAGGAGAGTCAGAGATTTTAAAGGACTCCAGACAGGCTTTTTCTGGGAGGATTCAGATCCTGGGAAGGTCCAGAGAAGAAGGATAATGGTCTTAGCAAGTGGAATGTGGTCTAAGCAAAAGGGAATATCCATTGTGAAGTAGTTCCCAGGGGAGGGGTATCCATTCAATTATTTGATCAGACCTAACAGATCTTGCACCAGGCCTCTCCAATGATTTAATTGTATGCAAATTTAACTGTTAAAAATATTATTTCTGAAAATTTTAGAGCCAAAAGCTTTAGAACCTTTTCAGTGCCATTGCCCCTTTCTGTATATATTTTAGTATTCCCCCATGACTCCTCGATTCCTGGTAATATTTCTAGTTCAGTTTAAGAGAGCAGAAAGGAGGAGGTAGAGGGGACTGATCTTCTAAAAGGTGAAGTCCTTTATTTAAAGTGAGTATGGTTGTAGCTTGGCCTTCTGTTCCCTAGGGGGCAGTGTAGATATTTTTGCCCCACGTTCTCAGCCGGTCAATGACAAAACAAGTTTTTACTCCTGCACCAAATGATATAGCAAATGATTTGTATTAGTGTCCTTTGCTCTAAGATTATGAACGATTATAATCTTCCTAATTTGGGGTGTTGTATATGTCATTGCTCTTGTTAACTGACGATTTTTAAAAACTGGCTTAACTAATCAAAATAAAAAACGTGGCTATTCTGTGTTGATGGTTCCCTAATTTGGGGAGAAATTCGACTAGTCCAAGGAATCTCAAAGTCTTTGAATCACTATTTAGGCTTCGTTTCTGCTCATGCTTTTATATAAGAGGATCGCTTGACTTTGTTTTCTCTAAAAGGCAAACAGGGGTGTAGTCTCTGCAACATTCGTAGATTATCAAAACCGCCGAGAGAAAGCGGGCTGGATCCCGAGGCCGCCTCCAGAGAACGCACCTTATTCTCAGCTGTAGGGGCGGGCGGGGCGGGGGATCCCCGACTCCCACCTTTCACCCCAGCCTCCGGCGTCCTCGTCACCTTGCCCTGCCCGGGTTCCGGATGTCAGTGAGGGTCCCATCCCTTGCCCGGGAGGGTAAAAAACAAACCGCCCCAGCTTGCAGCCCTGGAGGCGCCCCGCCCGCTTCGGCCTCCAGGAGGCGGGCACAGCAGAAGGCCGTCCCTGCCCGCCAATGGCTGGGCGCCTAGCCCGGGAACGCCAATCATCCTGTAACTCCAGCCACGTCACAGCAGTCTCCGGCGCTGTGCGGGTCCATCCGCGGACCTCAAACTGGGTAAGGGGTTTGGGGCCGGGAGAGGGAAGAGGGGGGGAAGGGCTGGTGACCTGGGCCACGGTGGGGGCCTTGGACCCAAGGGTGCTTGCAAAACTGCCAGCACGCACCTCCACTCCCGCTGTCCGGGTGCGCCTGGGGCATGGGGCGTTGCTACCAGACACTCTTGTGCCAGCTCCTGGATGGTGGCATGGGACCAGATGCCCTGCCCTGGTGCTGGACATATCCTCCTACCTAAAGTGCCCCTGAGGAGTGGGGGCCACCACCCGCACAAGGTGTGGCATCTTTTATGTAGCAGAAGGCTGCCTCTCCTAAAACCTGGGACATTGAATTGACTGAGTTCCCCTGCGGGTCAGCCCGACCTGCACCGCTCCAGTCTGACTCATGTGGGTGGGATTGAGGGCCGGGGGGAGGGAGGAAGGGAGGGAGAGGGAGAGGCCCATGGCCCAGGGGTAAAATGCAGACTCTGCTCCTACTTCTTTCTCCTCACAGTTTCTCTGCCTGCCCCCTCTTCAGCATCTCATCAGCAAGTGGGACTCTTCTCACTCCTCCTCCCTTGGGCTTGCTGGGGTCAGGGATCTGCTCAGTGCTGTGAAGAAGAGACTGCTGCAGGGCAGAGAACAGAATAATTACCTTCTTCCTTCTCTAGCCCATACCCGGACACACTGGCCACTGACGCCTCAATTTGCTGAGCTCACTGGATCGGCATAGACAAGGTAGGGGGGAGAGGGAGGACCAGGGGTGGAGTCCAGTCCCCAGCTGGGTTCAGTTTTTTTTAGAGTGGGTGGACAGAGAGGAGGGGACTGAAAGGCCTTCAAAGATAATATTATTACTTGTTTACTGATGACAGCAGCTGTGGGAGATCTCATTTCCTAGACAAGGAAGCAAGTTCGGAGAGGCTTCCTTATGTTGCCCAGGGAACCGAGCTGGTTATGGCAGGGTGGCTTTCACAAACCAGTTTGACTCCAGAATCTGGTCCTTCACCACATTAGGCTGCCATTGCCTTTTTAACCTTCTTGTTCCTGTTTAAGTCAGTCTGCCCTTCAGTTGTCTTCTGTTGTAAGAAATAAATTTTGCCCTTTTAGACCCAAAAGTAGAGTGGAGGATGGGGGATGAGGGATTCTAGAAGACTCCTGTTTCTCCCTCTACCCTCTGCGTCTGAAGTGCTCCCAGTTTTCTCTAAGGGCCCATTTGGACCCCCACGCCTACCCTTTGGCCTCATTACCACAGAAAAAGTCTCGCCAGCTGATTTCCTCTGTGTCTTTTTCCCTCTCATCCCCTCAAACGGCCCTCATACCATCCCCTCCCAGGAATTCCTATCTTGATCTCAGACTCTTCCTCCTACAGGCCTGCCACGATGCTGCTGCTGCTGCACAGAGCTGTGGCCCCGGGCCTGAGACAGGCCTGCAGGTAGGCCAGCCCATCCTGAAAGGTCTCCTAGCCTATAGCTTTACCTGGTATCTTTATAATGTCTTCTCTTATCTGCCAGATAAAATAATTAAGATGGTGGCAAGGAAGGAAAGGGTGGGCCAGATCCCACTTGTCTCACCTTTCCCTGGAGAAACTAAGTTCCAACTAAAGGAGCCAGTGGCCAGCCAGGGAGAGGTAGACCTCAGGCCTTCACCGGTCAGGAGTGTGTTACTGAGAAGACTCTCTTTCTCTTCCAGACTCAAGTCTACCCACTCAAGGCTCTGCATTCAGGCCTGCTCTACCAACGACTCATCTCAGCATCAGTGCCCCAGCCTTGCCTTCTCTACAGAGAACTCCAGCACCAGGGGATGGAGAGTCATGGGGACCCTGTTGGGCCTCGGTGCGGTGTGGGCCTATCATGACCATCGTTGCAGGGTAAGTGGGAAAGGAAGACACTGCGCTGTCAGGGATCCTGGGTGTTACCACAGAGCCCACAGGGGACACCTTCCTGCACAGGTAGAGATGAAATCTGCTTCCTCCATTCCCAGTGGCCACGACTTTGTGGTTTGGCTTAGAATGAGCTGCAGTGACTGCTTCTTAATATTCTGTTCCCTTTTGCCTCACCCCTGTCCTGCCTGCAGGCTGCTCAGAAGTCACCACACATATACACCAGAGAGGAAGTAAAATCCCACTGCAGCCCCGAGACTAGGATCTGGGTGACTCTGGGCTCTGAGGTCTTTGATGTCACAGACTTTGTGGACCTGCACCCTGGGGGCCCGTCAAAGCTGATGCTAGCAGCTGGGGGTCCCCTAGAGCCCTTCTGGGCCCTCTACGCTGTTCACAACCAGTCCCACATACGCGAGATCCTGGCTCAATACAAGATCGGGGAGCTGAGCCCCGAAGACAAGATGCCACCCGCCTTGAAGACCTCTGACCCTTACGCGGATGATCCTGCACGTCACCCAGCTCTGAAGGTCAATAGCCAGCGCCCCTTTAATGCAGAGCCCCCTCCTGAGCTGCTGACAGAAACCTACATCACCCCAAACCCTATCTTCTTCACCCGAAACCATCTGCCTGTACCAAACCTGGACCCGGACACCTACCGCCTGCATATAGTAGGACCACCTGGGAGAAAGCCACTGTCCCTGTCCCTGAAGGACTTACACCAGTTCCCCAAGCACGAGATCACGGTCACTCTGCAGTGTGCTGGCAACCGGCGCTCCGAGATGAGTCAGCTAAAAGAAGTCAGAGGCCTGGAGTGGAGAACAGGCGCCATTAGCACTGCACGCTGGGCTGGGGCCCGACTGTGTGATGTCTTGGCCAAGGCTGGTCACCAACTCCGTGCAACGGAGGCCCATGTCTGCTTTGAGGGCCTGGACTCGGACCCCACAGGGACTGCCTACGGCGCCTCCATCCCTCTGGCGCGGGCCATGGACCCTGAAGCCGAGGTCCTGCTGGCCTATGAGATGAATGGGCAGCCTCTGCCTCGTGACCACGGCTTTCCCGTGCGGGTGGTGGTTCCCGGGGTGGTGGGTGCCCGCCATGTCAAATGGCTGGGCAAAGTGAGTGTGGAGCCGGAGGAAAGTCATAGCCACTGGCAGCGGCGAGATTACAAGGGCTTCTGTCCTTCCGTGGACTGGGACTCTGTAGATTTTGACTCTTCTCCGTCTATTCAGGAGCTTCCCGTCCAGTCAGCCATCACAGAGCCCAAGGATGGGGAGATGGTAGAGGCGGGGGAGGTGACTGTCAAGGGCTATGCGTGGAGCGGCGGTGGGAGGGCGGTGATCCGGGTGGATGTGTCTCTGGACGGGGGCCTCACCTGGCAGGTGGCTGAGCTGGATAGAGAGGAACAGCGCCCCCGGAAGGCCTGGGCCTGGCGGCTGTGGCAGCTGCAAGCCCCTGTTCCACCTGGGAAAAAGGAATTGAACATTGTCTGTAAGGCCGTAGATGACAGCTACAATGTGCAGCCAGACACCGTGGGCCCGATCTGGAACCTGCGAGGCGTGCTCAGCAACGCCTGGCACCGTGTCCATGTCCGTGTTGCCTCATGAGAAAGTAAAATGGCACCGTCTACTCCCCGTAGCACCTTCTCAACCCCTCTCCACCCCCGTCCTTTAGCCTCGTTTCCACAGAAAAACCTATCTCTCCATCCCTCCACTTATCGCAGAAACTTTTACTCTGCCTTCCTAAGCCACACCCAGGTACACATTTCCACCGAGGCGCCACCCTCCTAGGACAGTGTTACATATGACTGGCCATTGACTTTGTGCCAGGAGGTGAGAGCTATTGGAGCAAAGGGCTAGAAGTGAGAAAAAATATTTCTGGAAACAAGCACTATTTTCTCTTCTTACCCACCTCCATTTCTAATGTCAATCACCACGGAGGCCTTATTTTGCTTTTCTTGGATTCTTCAGAGAATGTGTATTATGTGTAAGAAACACTTGCTATGTGACTTGCTGTTGCCCCTCTGGGTTGCCAGGGGTTGTGAACAGTGCAACCCCCTTCCTTTATAATTACACTTTTCTAAATATATCAATAAAGCATCTTTTTGAGACTACAACGCTAAAAAAAGAAAAGGTTATGATTTTTGGGGACCTCTTGAGGCTGGGGAGTGAGCACGTTGCAGAAGGGAGGTGCACAGGTGCTGGGATGTGTCCCCCGAGATGATTCATAACGAAAGCTCTTTAGGAGGAAAGGGAGAAAGCAAACAGGTGCAGGAAAAGTTAAGAAGTGGGGCTTCTGTGCCCGAGGTGTGTCAGCATCTGCAGGGCTACTTAGGTGACTGACCTCAAGATACCCCTCCAGCGAGCGGGTACAAACTATTTGCCACCCTTAAGCCCCTCCCCCTCACAATCCCTACGCACTTGGCAGGAATGGCAAGGAATGCTGAGAAGTTAAAGTCAATATTGTCTTAAGAGGTTCAGGGACAAAATCTGGCCCTAGGGGCAGAGGTGCCAGGACCCATGGGGTGTTCCGTAGGCGTCCAGTTTGCAAATCGCAGGTGAAGGGGCAGCCTCGGAGCTCCTCTCAGCGGGAGACCGAGCCTTTCGGACTTCAGGCTTTCTGCGCTCAGCTACTCTCCCCTAGCTCCTTCCCTTCTTTTCCCAGCAGTTTCCCCGGCTTGGGGGCGCTCGGTGTTCGGCCACGTCGCCTGTCGCCTGGTAGTGGGACCGGAAGTTGCTCAGGGGAGGGGAGACGGCTGTAATGGGGGGGTGTTTATAGGGGGGGGCCGTCCCTCTTCAGGTGAAGCTGCTGATGGACATGGAGCCACCGCTGCTGAGCGCCCGGGACCCGGCTTCGGCCCGGTTGCCGCCGCCTCAGTGACCCCCTTACTCCCCCCGCACTGGGCTTCCCGGGCCAGAGTGGGGGACCCCCGCCGCCCCGCCCCCACCTCCCCAATACCGTCCCCTCGCTCACACCCAGCCTGAGCGCACGCGGAGCGGCCTCAGGTGAGTGAGGGGCGGGGCCTGGGCCAGCGCGGGGCGGGGCTTCGCTGGCGGGGCGGGGCCTGAGGGGCTGGGGCTGGGAGCTGGGGGAGGTTTGGGCGCAGGGCTGGTGGCCGGAGGGTCCCCGAGTGGCTGCGGCCGGGAGGATAGAGGCTGGCCTTGGGGAGCTTGGCGGGAGGGGGGACGGGGGGGAGGGCAGGATGGAGGGGGCGGTAGCAGGGACCTGGGGTGCTAAAAAGGCGGGAGATGGGTCAAGGCAGAGGACCAGTGACGTAGAGGCTGGAGTGCGGGAGGTTAGGGTAAGGCTGGGAAGGGACAGAGGGACACAGTGGAGACACAGGAAAAGCAGAGAAGGTCCCCAGGGAGAAAGCCAGGGACGCTAGGATCCGGTCGAGAAGGTTTCAGGGAAGGACGGGCCTAGGTGGGAAAGACCTTGGAGACAAGGAGCCAAGTAGGAGAAAGGTGGCAGAGAAGAAACTTAAGGTGGAGTGAGAAGTGCTGTCTGGGGTAGTGTGAAGGGTGAGAAGTCTAGAGAACCTGAGAAGGAGGATAAGTCACTGCATGTGAGTCCAGAGGAAGAAATGGAACAGAGGAAGCCCTGGACTCCATCTGGGGGGAATGACAGACTCAGGAAGCAGGTCTAAACTACAACAGTCCTCCAACTACCTCCTCACACAGCCCCATCCCAGTTATTTTCTTCCCCGTTGTCTGCTAGAGTTGTAAACTCTCTCTTTTTAAATGTGGGGTTTATTTTTATCATTATTGGCCCCATCTGGGGGCAGTGAAGTGCTTAATGGAACATGGGCCTCTGGTTATGAAATGTTTAGGAAATAAGGTACATTTTTTTTCCCCTCTCCAAGGTCAAGAATTTACTAACTCTGCTTCCAGAAAGATTTATTTGCTGCGTTACCGACCACATGTATCAAGCTTTGCATACCTTCTTTTGCCTCGGTCCACTCTCTTGTAAGCAAAACTCTTCTGTTTGGACTCATACTGACTCCCACTTACATGTCTGATGGCTCCAGCTGTGCCCTACTCTCCCTGCCCCGAGCGCTCAAAGCATCGGTGGTGAGCTGGATGGTCCTGACTCACTCACATGTCGGCTCTAGGTCTTCCATCCTCATGGCCGCCCTGAAGACCTTTGAGGCCTGGCTATCTCCCCTTACTGCTACTTGCTCACTTAGCCTGGGTGAAGTTCCTATGTTCATTAAAAACAGGTGTCTGACTACCTAGAATGTTTCCACTTAATATAATTCAGATTCTGAGGACAAGACCAGGTAAAAGTCCAAATCAGACAACCTGAAAGTGTAGCGTCTTATGTTCGGAGTATGTTTCATGCCTAGCCAGGAGTCCCTCATCCCCTAATGGGTCTGCCAGTAGGTCAGCGGACCTTGCTTTGTGGGATGTGGGGAACTTCAGCTTTCTCCAGTAACAGCCTAAAACCAGCGAATCCAGACAACACCCTAGGTCATGAGAACAGTCAGAAGAGTGGCTCCGGAGATAAAAATAAAATCTTAAAAGGAGAAAATAGCCTTACATTTGAAACGCAGGAGAGGTTTCAATAGAGCTTCTTGGGTGGGCCCCAGGGTGGTGGGAGCTGCCTTCACTTTGGCAGTTTCAGAATTACATCTTGTGCTAGTCAATAGAGGCTGATGTCTCCAGCACAAAACATGATGTCTTTGTTGCTCACTGAGGGCAGTTAGTTCAATTGTAGCTTCTGGGCAGTCCCCTTCCTCCCAGAAGGCTAAGGATACAGCATGTTTCAGGAGTTGGCTCAGAAATAAGTCCTGACATTTTTCCAGTGAAAATGCAACTGCAAATTTCTTCTTTATTTCCTCTTAATTTAAGTCTGCAGCCCCCCGGGGGATGGGGGGATAAATCTGCAGCCCATACTTCCCAACAGGGCAGGAACATCCCACCTTTGACACCCATCCTCTCCCCCACAATATCCACAAAGGAATTATTTTCTTTCAAACTGGCCATCTCTCTTCCCTGAGAACACACAACATAGTCAAGGAAAAAATAAAGATAAATTTTTGTTGGGCAGCTATTTCTAGCCTCATTGTACTTTGTGGAAGCAAAAAAGAGTGTGGGATCCTGTGGGTGTCGACAGTGCCACAGGCAGAGAGAGGGACTCCCTTCTGTTGGTCTCTTGACCCTGCTGGAGAGGCTCCGAATTCCAGGCTGTGGGATTTGCATCCTCTTCTCAGAGACTTGTGGACTCTGACTTGGAAACACAGAGGCAAAGTCAAGGTTTATCAGATGAAAACATAGAAGAAAGGGTAGTGTTGATATGAATGGGCTGGTCCCTCTGCGGATAGCTTCAACTCATAAACTCGGCTGGAATATGTGTGCTTGTATGATCCTTGAGCCAACAAGCCCTGTTTCTGCCTTGAAGATATTTAGTGAGTGGCTAGGTTGGCTTTTCCTCAGGCCTATAATCTGAAAAGAAACATGGGAGGTGGAGGGTTATTTCTTTCCCATCTATAAACTGGTATTTCTAGTTCAAGGATTTCAATCTCTAAGATGTAAACCCCAAACTATTCATTTTATCATCCAAGAAATTGAGCAAGCAGGGTGGCCCCAAACCTTCCAGCTATGGCAAGATTTAACTTTATGCCACAGTAGGTAACCTGGGTTCTATTTGTCCTACTTCTATCACTAACCAAATGGGTGACTCTTCTTCAATTAAAAAAACAAACAAAAGAAATTGGAGATATCTCTCAGCTCCATTCTAGCTCCAAGGTTCTCCAGGTCCCAGAGTATCCCCGCTCCAAGGCCCTCCACATGAAGAGAGGCTTACTAAATTGGGTCATCTGAGCAAGGTCTTTATAGAGGAGCCTGAAAACATCTTTCTGGCCCAGACAACAGTGAGCTGTTTTGATCGAGGATTGCCACCAAAAGCAATTCTTATCTCTTCCACCTTTTGCCACCCTACCCCAGTCAGAATAATTAATTGAAACTTCCATGTAATTTTTAAAATTTGATTTTAAAGAGAGAGAGAGAAAGAGAGAGAGAGAGAGAGAGAGAGAGAGAGAGAGAGAGAGAGAGAGAGAGAGAAACATTAGTCGGTTGCCTCCTGCATGTCTTGATAAGAGATTAAACGTGAAAACTGGGTGTGCGCCCGAACCTGAAATCAAACCCGCCCCCTTTTGGTGACAGGATATACCTGAGCTGTACCCACCCGGGTGCAACTTCTGAGTGATTTCAAACTTCACTTAGCTAACCCTGTTTTGGACATCTTTAGCTTCACAGCTGATCATTATAAAACTCAGATTGAATTCCCCTGCTCTACTTCCCCAACCCTACCCAAACATACAGCTGAGGTGGGGCCTTTCTGTAAACACAGGGATTATATACTCAAGAGTATACTCCCAAAACCTCAATATCACCTCATGTGCATGATACCTAGTGATTTAAACTGTTTAGTTTGGCCCTTTTCTTATTCCTAAAGTGCTGAAACGAGGCACAGAGGGATAGGATTGTTTCTCCTCCCACCCATAAACCTTAGCTTTCTCTCTCTCCCGCAGTGTGCACGGGGAGGACAGGGAAGCGCAATGAACAGGAGAAAAGATGCGTTCACCTGAGATCTAGGAGGAGACAAT